TATGCTGATTGTGTAACATGGCTTGGTTTTTGCTTCAAAAACCAAACTAACATCATTTGTTCACCTAGGAAAATACCTCCTCAGGGGTGGGGACTGGGTGGGACTCAAGAAAAGTATTCTATGCATGTTATTTGTGTAAAACTATGGTAACAGTCTTTGCAGTAATGGAGGAATTGTTGCTTTGCTTGGATGGACAAGAACTCTTGCCTATTGGTTGGCAGCCTATCACTCTTGTAATCTTAAGGGGGGCTTTTCCGGAGCCAGCCGTTCCCCTCTGTGCTGAAAATCACCGTCGTTAAAGCAGCTGCTTTTCACTGAGCACTTGCTACATGGACCGTTTCCTTTCATTTCACTACACTGTACAGGGGAGAAGCCTGAAGTTTAAGACGCTATGTGGCTTGCCCAAGGTCTCATTCATATAAAGCCAGGATTTAAGCCCAGAGCCCATATGGTCATCAGTCACTAAGCAAGGCTGCCAGCAAAGCACTGGCGCCACGAGGCTCCTGGGTATTATTGATCACCACAGCGAAGTGCTTCCACCTCCAGGCAGCAGCTGAGAGGAGCTTGAGCCCTGCCTATTGGCGGAGGAGTTTGGCCGAACTTCGAGGTTATAACCTGCCACTCAAAATATCCATGCCACGATGCTTCCGGATCTGCCTGGGTGGGCCTTGGCCCGGTGATGAGGGCCAGCCAGCATCTTGATTCCTTCTGGAACCTTCAACCCCTCTTAGCGACGGGCTTACTGGCCTGAACCTGGAAGAGTTGGCGCCACACATTGTAATGTGTCCAAGAGGCTAAGTTGAATGCTAAGAAGCTCAACTTGAGCTATCTCTTCCTTGGCGAAGCCTTGCCTGGCTTCTTTCCCTTTCCCAATTTCTCACCCTTCTGTCTGTCACTCCGGTGCAATGCTTTATTTCCCACTCCGGAAATGCAGTGGCAAGCATTCAATTATAAAAAATTGCAAGGAGCGGTCTCAAAGAAACCAATGAGTGTAATATTGTTAGATCAGATGAGAAAAGGCCTTCTCTTTTTTTTTCCTGGACAAAACCATTGGATCTTTGAGAGTTAAGAATTAGCTGCCCCCCACCCCCC